GGGCGAACGAGAATGGTGACACAATTATTTCTATAGTGTAATCTTCTGTTATTTTTTGTTACATTTCGCCTTGGACCAGCATCTGGCTGTTTTTTGTTTTGTTTTTTTTTTTTTGGGATGCCCCTTCTCGAGTGATCGATGTAGCTTGTTGACGAAAAACGTGGGGTAATCGAAAAGTTGTCGAAAAATCACTGCTGGCGAAAAAGATTTGAAGAAAACGCTGTCTTATTAATTTATTCAGCATCGAGGCGGGGCGGAACGGAGCGGTTGCTACTAGATTTGGTAAATCTAAGATTGTCAGATAGGGTTCATTCTTTCTAGAACCGGGATGACCTGCCCCTAGCTGGCGAAATGTTTCTTCTTTTATTGATCTTGAACTCCATCTTCCTGCCAGTTTTGTTAATTCTTTTCAGTCAATACAAGGTCGAAGGGTCACCCGGTGTAAAGGGTTACTGAATGAGGATGTTGTAAAGGCATATATGGAAAGAGCGAGGCTTGCATATTATGAGGATATGCAGGAGAGATACAGGTTGAACTGAGATTGATGTTGTTAAGACTGTAGTCATCATGGAAGCATTCCGTCAGGAGTCATTGACATCGTCACAGTTCTGAGTAGTACATCATCCGAGCAAATGAAATATGAAAGGAATGCGTATGTATGTTGTATAGCGAGGCTTAGCGGTAAATATCTGGATTGATGGTAACGAGGAGTGTCGTTCGCTTTGAACATCTGAGAGGCTAGCAAGTTTCCAACTTGGGAGAGGAATTGAAGTGTGGAAAACTATCACTATCAAGGTGATAAATAATTTATCGAGGCTGGAAAGTGAAGATCGGGCAGATCCGGCCAAAATATGACAACTATATTTAATTTTTGGTCTGATCTGACTCTTGTAGAGATAGAGCATTGGGCCATATGACGGAGTCAGCCATTTTTGCTGGATCTGTAGAGTTGGATCTGTATACGAGCCCAATTGAATTCCTGTGTAAGATTTAGTAACAAACGATGCTCGACAAAACGAGCCCCATTAAGAGTATTACCACTAACCAGGAATTGAGAAAACGTTTCTTTGTCATGATGAAAAGTTACTAGTTTGGTTTTTGAGATATTGAATGCTGCAAGAGGGAAAGTCAGAAATCACAGCTCCCATCTCACATTCGACCCATATTGACATATTTAAGTAGAGAGTGATTGTAGACATGAGTGTCACGTACAAGTCTCTTAAAGGGTATTTCTCTGTCTCTGTTTTGTTTTACAGCATATAAACTTCAATGGGTTATATAATGCCGACAAAATTTTTATTGTTGGTAATATTTTTTTTCAAAAATCTATTTTTGGTAATATTTTTTTTCCTTCAAATATGTATCGCTGGTAGTTTTTTTTCCTAAAAGTGTATTGCTGGTAATAATTAAAAAAAATATATATATCTGGTATTAAAACCTATTTTTACATTTTCATCGTGTTTTAACCCAGTTTAGGGGTTAACTATTTGCCCATAGCTGGGACCATAAAAGGCGTTATCACCCCAGATCATGGTGAACCTGGGAGCACCAGCAATTAAGAGATGGTTTCACGGTCCTCAAAACCTCCTGAGGCCTTGCTGTTGGATGTAGTTTATCGTCTTACCCAGGATGCGGATGGAGTTTATAGTCATACCCATGACGGTAAAGGGTATATATATATATATATATATATATATATATATATATATATATATATATATATATATACGTGTGTGTGTGTGTATTGGTTTCAGCCCCAAAGAATGGCCACTCAGTGAGGATCAAACTCGCTGCACACGAAAACCATATCAGCGCACTAAGCGTTCTCCAAACTCGAGACAGCGAAATTGTATTTCTATTTGCTTTTTTGATTACAATATTTTCTAATTTTGGTATGCGATAATTTATTTTTTTATCAGAGCAAGCCGTCGATATGTCGTTTCAGATTTTGGTTTATTGATTTTTATCTGTCTACCTCTCTATCTCTCTATAAAAGTAATTTTTCTTCTAGGAGCGCAAGAAGGCGTTGTCGCATTCCGAGTTTACGTTTACTGATTTACAATCCCTTGTAATCTATCTATCTATCTATCTATCTATCTATCTATCTATCTATCTATCTATCTATCTATTCCTGTCTGTTCCTATCTATCTATCTATCTATCTATCTATCTATCTATCTATCTACCTATCTATCTATCTATCTATCCAGTTTGTTCCTATGTATCTATCCTAGTTTGTTCCTATCTATCTATCTATCTATCTATCTATCTATCTATCTATCTATCTATCTATCTATCCCTGTCTGTTCTTATCTATCTATCTATCTCAGTTTGTTCCTTCTTCCTATCTATCTATCTATCTATCTATCTATCTATCTATCTATCTATCTATCTATCTATCTATCCCTGTCTGTTCCTATCTATCTATCTATCCCAGTTTGTTCCTTCCTATCTATCTATCTATCTATCTATCTATCTATCTATCTATCTATCTATCTATCTATCTATCTATCCCTGTCTGTTCCTATCTATCTATGTATCCCAGTTTGTTCCTATCTATCTATCTATCTATCTATCTATCTATCTATCTATCTATCTATCTATCTATCTATTCCTGTCTGTTCCTATCTATCTATCTATCTATCTATCCCAGTTTGTTCCTATGTATCTATCTATCTATCCCAGTTTGTTCCTATCTATCTATCTATCTATCTATCTATCTATCTATCTATCTATCTATCTATCTATCTCAGAATAAGGTGCCTACCATAAAATGTTTTTTTTGCAATTTTCTCACATTTTTTTCCTAAAAAAAGTCTAAATTCATAAGCAAAGAGAAGAGACATTTACTTTCAGGCTAAATGTGGTTGGAATAAAAGGATTGGCTGGTGTTTGTTTTATAATTATAAGTAATTAAAAAACATTCCTCGAATGCAAAGCGTCTAAATTAATAGGTGGGATGAATTTCTTGAATATTTAATAAAACAATTGATTGGGAAAAAAAAAGTATGTCTCATTCTACTGTCTTCCATTGATCGGTGGAAATAATTTTACATTTTCAGACTTTTCATATGAACAGAAGACGTGAAAATAAAACATTTTTTTAAAAAAAATAGTCCGAAACGTGCCACATCTACGACTGTACAATTTAAACTTTTCCCCGTAAATAATATTTCAAAAATTGCGTCACATACATCCCGATGCAACACCGCTTGTAATTTCATTTTTGGCTGCCTGCCAAAAAATATTTCCTTTGATGAATGATCATCTGATGGTTTTATTTGCGATCTCCATTGCAAGAGCGTAATAATGATTGATATTTATGTGACGAAATATCATTACTGATTTAAGCTAATGTTTTCGTTACGTTGTCTCTCGCCGGATTCCGTTTGCTGGATTTGTATATTCGTAGGTATTATGGATGGGTAAAATTTAATTAGTCGGCATTTGGTGTGATTTGCTTTTTGGTTTGTTTTACACCATATCAAACTTTTTTTTTTTAGGTAATTTCAAAGATTACTCCAAGTACAATAATATGTCATTTCCACTTCGCGTGGAGTATCGACCCACCGCCTCACCACACTTGTGTTGCTGCTGCGGTTTCATCTTTAAGACTAGTTATAAAACCAGTGCTAGAGAGACCAGTCTACACTTGCTATTCAATGCATAGCTGGGGCGAGAAGAAATTAGATTTGTCACTTTCCCGAGGGCATTTGTGTAAAAGTGAACGCAAACATTGCAGTATTAATTTAAATTTCGTCATACCAAAACCACTTCTCAGGCACATAACTACTACGCCACGTGTGTATCCGCAATAATAAAAGACTAGTCAACATAAGGGTTCATATGTCATAAAATCCACCAATTCAGACCAATCCTTAATGTCTTCATCCTGTCCGCGACAAAGACACGTAGCCCATGTCAGTATCATTAACAAGCTTAAGTACTATTCAAAATCCGACATATTCAAAGCTATATCATTTCACCATCATCTGAACACAATCTTCATAATCCTTTTGTATCTTGAGAAGGAAAAAATAATGGTAATATTTATTTAATCTATACGTGTTGCTCAGACAATATTGTTTAATATTTTTATAGACAGTTCGACGTCAGTTCGATCTCCAGATGCCACCGATACCGTGCTACTGGTACCATGTAACCCATTACTACCTACTGCATCGTCAGGTTATCGATGATAAAAACCGGCACCAATCATTTCTGGTGAGGAGTGTGGCTAGTCTAAGGCCACTCGAGGTAGAGGGTTATTGAATGAGGATGTTATAAGGGTATATGTTATGATGTGGATTTGGGGTTAGTAGAGACAAACGCCAAATAACACGTAACAATAAAAAAGGGTTTTAATAGGTTGGTAAAAAGGTACAGAAATCGCCTGAGTAGTCAATAACTAGCTCAGCTAAGAAATTCTCTGTCTCTCTTTCCCATGTCAACTGACATGCCACTATTTAAAGTCTTTGTTCACAGACGCACACAAGTTCATTTTCAAGAGGGGTGGTAGGTTTCCGACACAACAGTATATATGGAAAGAACAAGGGTTGCCTATTATGAGGATATGTAGGATAAACAGCGGTTGAACTAAGATTGAAGTTGTTAAGACTGTAGTCATCATGGAAGCATAACATCAGGAGTCATTGGCATTGTCACAGTTTTGAGTAGTACATCATCCTAACAATTGAAATATGAAAGGAATGCGCATGTGTGCTGTATAGCGAGGCCTACCTGTGAATGTGTTATGGGGTCCACCCCTTTTTCATACAAGTGGACTTGACCAGTGTGTACCTGGACTGCTGCCGTTAAATACTCAGAGTCAGTCGGAGTAGTCAGATAGTAGATTGAGATTGAGTTGGAGGTAGAGTAATAGCGTGAGGTAAACGCTTGTAGAAGTCACAGTTACAAGCACGTATACTCTAAGGAAGTCCTACTTCGAGACTGGATTTACCAGACTGTGTATATATATTATTATTGCTACTAACCACGTTTCTGGATCTGCTAACTGTATTACCAATTGTATTATTGTGTAAATACATTTATTTGTTATATTTCATTCGTGCGTTTGTCATTCATTGGAGACCGAATTTCATCTCGGAATCCACAACAGAATGTCTGGAGTGACGGTATCGAGGAATGTCGTTCGCTCGAACATCTGAGAGACTAGCAAGTTTCCAACTGGGGGAGAGGAATTGAAGTGTGAAAAACTATCACTCTCAAGGTGATAAATAATTTATCGGCGCTGGAAAGTGAGGATTAGGCAGATCCGGCCAAAATATGGCAACTATATTCGATTTCTGATCTGATCTGGCTCTTGTAGAGATAGAGCATTGGGCCATATAGGGAGTCAGCCATTTTAGCTGGATCTGTAGAGTTGGATCTGTATACGAGTCCCACTTGAATTCCTGTGTAAGTTTTAGTAACAAAATCAAGTCTTGTCAAAAGATGGATAAATCTTCTTGTAGAGACAATGGCCATCGAGCGCAATGGGGCAAATTGGGTCCCGTAGCTATGTATGTAACCAATTCGGTGATGACACGGCATTGCTGAGTAGAAGACGTTTTTGACTGGAGTCAACAACCAGTGTAGAGGGTTCCCCCGATAGAATTAACGGCTTTATGCCCTCGAGCAAGTAGAGCATACAAGTTGGAGTCCATCGTCACTGATCTGACGCGAAGGGGGATGGTTTTACCAGGTCTTTAGGACCCAATCCTATAGACCTGGCAAAGATTTATCCAAGACACGGCAAGCATGAATGAATACCTTACTAGATTTCAATCCAGATATATAAAGGGAACCAGTCAGTTGCTTAGCTGCGCATTGATCTTACGACAAAACCTGGTCATAGGAGCAAAGAAGATAATAATAATTATAATAGAATCAGCTAGGACAAATTTAATCCAAATATGTATGCATGTCTTTGCAGATTTCCTAGATTAATTTATAGACACGTGGCCGCATGGTTAGAACGTTTGCTTTTTTTTTCCGACCATAAAAATCCGGTTCGAATCTAATCATGCTCGATTTGTCAGGAAGGTGATTTTTTGATGTTACCAGCGTGCGGCACCTTTGAAAACTGTCTGGAAAAACCATAGAACTGGTTGAACAAAATCATGTGAACGAAAATTGGGTAGACGGAACTATTTGGGAGACTTCGGTAGTTCAGCTAGCACGAAGTTACAAATCATCGTGACCGAGGATTTAATCGTACTTGGCTTATTCAGACTGTTGAGCACGCATAGTATTCTCTCATTTCCTATAAGCCACAGTGCTCTATGAGTGTTGAACAAACACAAATATGCTTGAGCAGGTGTTTTCAATAGGGATTGGCTAGCCACCCTAGCAGAGAGACATACTCGGATGCGAGCGACAACTATTACAACTACCATTACTAGATTTACCTAGAGTGTTTCTAGACGAGACCAACGTCATAGAAACACCAGCCATGATCTAACACAAAAAGGCTTACGTAATCCACCCGCTAACAGTTGTGCGTCTGCTTTTTTGGTATGTCGATGTACGTAGAGAATGTATTAAAAACAAACAAAAAAAAAAAAAAAACGAAAAGCTCTTAGGCATTGTGACGCAGAATTTGAAGATAAAATATAACGATCCGAAAAAGAAGTAGCAAAAAAGTTCACTTGAAAGAATGTGAAAAGAACGAGAAAGAAGGGGCATTAAAAAAAAAAACAACACACACACAAAAAAAAAGAAAAAACGGAAAATGATGTTGAAGGCGGTACATAAATTGCTTTAGAAATTTCATTAGAATCTTTAATGGAAGCAAAGTTAGCAAGCATCACTAGATACGCGTTCCGATGTAATGAATATAAGTTCGAGATGAGGAATCAGAGAGTTCGAATTCCAGTCGGGTTATCTATATTCACTTCTGCGCAAATATTCTTAGGTAAAGTACGTATTTCTTCTCCACCCCAGTTAACGGCTGAATAGCAGGACAGGCTGTGTCCTATAGGCTTGGTTGACTTATATAGACAGAAAAGGCAATCTACTGCTGGAAAATCTCTTGCTTAATCAGTCATGTATCGAAAGAGACACGATCGTTCAAGCGTGTTTCACTTAACTGAGATGAAGAAGGTTTTCTGTTTGGTTTGTTTAATGGGTGATTTAATGCTGACAATTTTTAATGCTGGTAATATTTTTCTTTTCAACATGTATTTCTGGTAATATTTTTTTCTTCAAAAATCTATTTCTGAGAATATTTTTTCTTCAAAAAATATATAGCTGGTAATATTTTTTTCCAAAAATGTATAGCTGTTTGTATTGCAGGTATTTTTTTTAAAAAGTATTGCTGATAAAAAATTTTCCTAGCAAAAAATTATTGCTGGTAATTTTTTTTTACACTTTCATAATATTTTGGCCCAAGTTTGGGTGTTAACTATTTGTCCATAGCTGGGACCCTAACAGGTGCTACCACCCCGGGTCAGGGTGGACCTGGGAACACCAGCAATTAAGAGGTGGTTCCACGCTCCTCAAAACCTCCTGATCAGAGGCCTTGCTGTCGGTCGTAGTTTATCGTCTTACCCAGGACGCCGATGTAGTTTATCGTCGTACCCAGGACGGGAGATGGAGAAGACGAAGAAAGAGAAATGGTGAAGAACAAATCATATAAAAGAAAGCGAGGAAATGAGAGAAAACGAAATAAAAGGATGAAATGTCAATAAAATAGTTCCCCGATTGTTCGGACACCTTCGGGCAAGGGTTGCAAAAATATGTTCGGATAATTCGAAATTCCAGATAACTGA